TTCTAAGTTGTGAGAAGTAGTTTTGTTATTTAGTGATTACTTACATAAGCAATCATAAATATAACAACTGTTTTTGCACAGGGACAGACATGCAACTTAATGTAGACACGGGGTGTTGTTAAAAGATAGAGCTAATTCCAATAGGAGTAGACTGAATTATTTATATAGGTTCTATTGATTACTTCTGGCATCAGAATTTCTCTTCTCTCCAGTTGTTAAATTCCTTGACTATATTCAATCTACTTTAAAAATTTTCTACAATTTCTCCTTCTGTATCCTATACATTTAATATTTTATCTTATAATAGAAAAATACAAACATTTTAAAGACAAAGCCAACATCTAGCTTTTCAGAGGGATCTGAATGAAATCTTTCCTGGGATTTAGGGAGTAGAAGAGAATTCTATTTCTTTTATGTCTTTGATGTGAGGACTACCTCAGAAGAGGAAAATATTCCTGTATACTATGAGCAAACTTGAGAATGGAGAATTAATGGAAAAAATCAAATTACTTTTAATGGGACATCGATGAGAAACATCATGTTAAGTATCAATTTGTGCTACTGACATTTTAAGAAAGATATACTCAAAATTAATTTAGAAGAACCTCCAGGCCAATAAGTAATAATAAGTCAAATCATGGAAGGCCAGTGAACCTAATGACCTCTGCCTGTTCTTTCTAATTTTCTTATCTTATCAGTCAATTATTATTTCTCCTGAAAAGGTAAAGTTAACAACTGGGAATCTGATTTAGTGTGACTCTTCTTGGTGGATATTATAGAAGATGTGATCCCCCAGCAATCTAAAACAATGTGGCCAGTATTCTGCATCAACTAACTACCAACACACTTAAGCCAACAACACTCACTACTGTGGTGGCAATGAAAACATCTCTGACACGTGAAAATCCGATGTGTACATGCCCCGGTGGCTATCATATTCATTTCATCACCTGAGCTTTTAACCACAACCACTTTTCACACATGGCATACTACTCACTTGTCACAAGGTCCTAGACCATATTTTGAGAAAGCTTGAAAGTCAAATAGAACCTTATAAGTAAAATATTTGTGCTAAAAATGGTATTAAGTTCTTTCCCTTTCTTTCTTTCTTTCTTTCTTTTTTTTTTTTTTTTTTTGAGACAGAGTTTCACTATGTCACCCCTGGTAGAGTGCCATGGTGTCACAACTCACAGCAACCTCAAACTCCTGGGCTTAAGCGATTCTCTTGCCTCAGCCTGACCAGCAGTTAAATTCTAATGAGACTGGCCACCCCTGTCTTCTCTGCCTTCTCTTCCTGCTCCTGGCTCTGGCTGCTAGAGTTAGAATGGAAAGTCAGATGTCTCTCTGGTGAGTGATGGGAATTCATACTGAACCATTAAGGCTGTAGCTCTGAGTATTCTCAGTGTTTAATTCCACTGCCTTTCTGCACTTTCTCCTATGTAAACTCTTTCTACAAAGGGCATATTCCCTCAGTGGATGTCAATATGTTACTATAATTTTTTTTTTTTAAGATATAACATGTGAAACATGGATGAACCTGAAGGAGATTGTCAACTGAAATGAGGCCTGCACACAAAGACAAATATTGAATGATCCCACTCAACTGTAGATTATTTTAAAAAGTCAATCTTGCAGGAGTAGAGAATGGAAGGGTGGTTAGAAGGGTCTACAGGATTTGGGGGCTGAGATGCTGGTCAAAGGATACAAAATTTCAGTTAGAGGAAGAATAAATTCAAAAGATCTGTTGTACAATATGGTAACTATATTTATCATATTGTACAACATAACTACTTACCATATTGTACAACAGATCTTTTGAATTTATTCTTCCTCTAACTGAAATTTTATATTTATAGTTTACAATATATTGTATTCTTGAAAAATGCTGAGAGTGGACCTAAAGTTTTCTCACCACAAAAATGATAACTATATGAGGTAATACATATGTTAATTAGCTAGATTTAGTCATTTCATGATAAATACATATTCTTCAAAACAATATGTTGTTCTGTAAATACATGCAGTAAATACAATCTTCTAATATTTTTAAAAAATCCGTTGCAAAAATTCATTCATAAAATTTAATGTGAGATAAAAAATGTAAATTAAGTTATAAAAATACTATTTCTTTTAACATTTAAAATATTTAGTAAAGTAATATATGTACATATTTTTAAATAAGCAATCAAATGGCATCTTGCCCCTTTATGATTCTAATCATTTAAAATGATGCTAACTTTTTACATTTCAGTAATCTTTTAATCTTGCGATTTGTTGTTATTTTTAGCCACTATCTGATGACATTGTGTTTTGCAAATTTACCTTCTTAGTATTGTCCTATCTGCATGTCTGCATGGTGGTCATTCCTGCTTCCCATTTCCTTGTCTTCTTGGTATACTGGGATAATCATTTTCCCTTAATAATTGACATTTATAACATTATGACTATTGTTAAGTATTAAGCCAAGTAATTTGTTAGCATTACATTTTTTTTCTTCTAACCCATTGCTTTTTTTTTTCCTGGAAAGAGTTTTCTATATCCCAACATTATTTTTTTCCCTAGGTTTCATCATATATGGCATATTCTTACGAGTAGTTTGATCTTTTACACTCATAGCCCTATTCTATCTGATGAATTCATCTCTTTCTTTTTCCTGGACATGAATTTCTCTCTCTTTGCTCCTCCAGACCCAGCAGCTCATCATCCATGAAGCTAGTTGCTGCCTTTTTTGACTTCTTTTTGCTGCTTGCCAGAAAAGTGATTTTTGGAGGACTCACCAATTAAAAGATATGGCATTAATATCAGATCTGACTATGCCTGAAACAAGAAATCAGTGCCATGAGAATGTAAAGACTGTAAGCTTAAGAAAGTAGGCCAAAGTAATTTCTCATAAAAAGACAGACGTTTACTCACTCAGTCACCCCCAAGTAGAGAACCTCACACTCTGCTCATTGGAAATTGCAATCAGTGCTTGCACAAGGTCAAGTTCTGCTCTCTGTAATGCACACTCTGAGACAATTTAACTAACCTGGTCTGTTTCTAAATGGATACACTGGCACAGATCAGGATGTCTTAACCTCACTTGAGGTCAATTCTGCAGCCTAAGTTAGGATTTCAGAATGTGGGGGAGTCATTAGTCTGTTCATGCTACTATAACAAAATACCTTAGCCTGGGCAATTTAAAAGCATCGGGAATGTACTTCTTATAGTACTGGAGGTAGAGAAGTCCAAGATCAAGGATCCAGAAGACTAGATATAAGTAAGGGCTTTCAGATCATAGAAGGCACCATGTTGCCACTGAACTTGCTTCCTCATGACCTTCCATAAGAGCACCAGTACTAAGTCACTTCTCCAAAGGCCTACTCTCCTAGATTGGGGATTAATTTTCAACATAAATTTTTTATTAAATCATAACAGTACATTAATACTATCATGGGCTACAGTGTACTGTTTCTGTATACCATTTGAACTACTTTCATCCAACTGGTTAACATAGCCTTCATGTCTTTTTCTCAAAGTATCCCAAGAATGGAAGAAAAAGTAACCAATGTACTCAACATAAATTTTGGAGAGACACAAATGTGCAAACCATAGCAAGGGCCCAGGATGACGCTTTAATACAGTGTTGCATTTACACAGGTTTTCTCTCCAGTCCTTTCTGGTGGTCTTTCAATTGCAACTGTCATAGTGACTCACACGCAGAGAATATGATAAAAACCAGTGTTCTTTTCAGCAAGCATTTATCCCACTGCTTTTCTCATTTGCTTTTTTCTGTGGTAATGTGGAGGGTATCTGCCTCTTTATTACAAAACTGAACATAAGGAATGGGGAAGAAGATTGAAAACAATTTAATCATACTCACTCTCTTTCCTTAATATCTGATGCATCAACAATAAGAGGTAAAGTCAATGCAAAACCAAGGTGTCACTCAGGTGGAAAAGACACAGAGCCTGCCAGATGCCCAGTCCTCTACTTTCTGGGAAATAAGAAAATGAAGGGGAAAAATGTTTCTTGTCTCTAAAATATAGAAAATAAAAAACTAAAAAATTAAAATTAATGCATAATTAAACATTCAGAAAATGTAATGCTAATTTTCAAATTCAATGACATATTTGATAAATTATTAAATTGAAGTAATAATTTTATTATGTTTAAAATATTCTGTAGAGTTTAGGTTATTTCACTTCTCAAGAATGTCTAATTATATATAATGACTCCAATATCAGTAATAATATTAATGATAGGTGCATTTGCAGTGGAGGAGGTAGTCTCTATAATTTCATTTTGAAAAATGCCAAATGATGAAAAATTGAAAGAACAGTCCAGGGAATATCTATATACTTACTACTAATATTACACAATCACTAACCTTTGAAGAAGTTTTAAAGCTCTTTACAAGCTTGGTCATTCTTCACAATGACTCCCTACCGTAATTCTTTCAGCATCCTTAATTTAAGAGTCGAGGCAAATAAAGCACTGAGAGATTATGCAACTCATCTAAGTCATGGGCTGGTAAGGGGTTGGCCTGGGACTCCGATACAGAAATGCCTAAGAGGCTATCTCTTACTTGCAAGAGATCATTCCTGTATTACATGACTTACGTAGAGGAAAATTCTTTATAAATTATTTTACATCAAGATTATATTTAATATAGGCTGTCAGCATATTTGAATAAGGTTTAGAGACAAACTTTCTGAATATAACAGTGTCTATAAAGTTTTTTAAAGGGATTTGGGCATATAAACACCAGGAAAGAAGCAGATGTCCTTGGCAGTGCCAGTGAGGAGATGAGGAAGCCAAGCACAGTACGCCAAGGTTTTGAACTCATTTCTGCTTCTTTTGGGAAAGAGGGAGATTATTTTTCTCCCTGTGTAATTGAATAATTTTTCAGCAAGCTTTTCATGACACATATTCTAGTTTTTGTACAAAACTATGGTACTAAGATATCACTAATTTTTAAACAATAGAAATACCACTCTAGTTTCTTTTTTTTATTTCTTTTTTCCAAAAATTGCACCAATATAAAGCAAAGCTCTAGTTGACAAGGGCACGTTGTGTATGTGTTAGCAGTACGCCCCTCACCATGCACTCATTGGACAGCAGTGCAACCCCAAGAAAAGGAGGGTTCAACTCTAGTTTCTTGACTGAGGAACATGTACACTGTGATCCCGACCCAGCCCTAACTGCAGCTCCTTTCACTGGTGGCTGTCATGCCAAGACTACAAAATCTACTTCAGTGATGTCCCTGGTCCAGATTTACGCCCTCAGGTTATAGTTTCTCCTCTACTTGGAGTTAATCCTGCCTGCGTGACCTCTATGATACTATGTGACCTTTAGGCTAATATTGGTTCTAACAGTCTATGATCCATTTTTGAAATATATACCAGCAGGGCCATTATGAAAAGTTTTAGGCCAAGTCTAATTTCCTTACATGTACTATAAAGTTGCTGAAAGAATATTGCATACCATTGAGATCACACACTGTGACATCAGGAATTACAATGCCAACTGGTAACTGAGACAAGAGTAAAACCCAAGCGTCTGATGCCCAGCCCTTCCAATTCCAGTAGGCAGTAACTTTTATAGTTTCCTTACCTGTGCTATTTCTGAGAAATTATATGCTTTTACAGCACTGACACTGGTAATAGGTAAAAGAGACAATGTCCAATGAGATATAATTTGAGATGTTCCAAAGGAGCCCTTTGCTTAAGAGTAACACGCCTTACTTCTTTGTTCTCTGTCACAGACCCATGCATTGGCTAAGGCCTTAGACGAAGCTTTCGGTCTATAAGATGATGGTGCCATCAATATGCTCCAAGAGGTGGTGCATCCTAAGCAGACATCCCCTCTGGGACGGGGGAAAAGTAAGACACAGGAGTAATTGGCATGTTTAAACACCCTCTGGGAAAAGGTTTTAGAAAAGTATCCTCAGGTGGGGAGGAGGAGTGACAACCTGAGTAAGTTGTCAGCAGTGGGAAGAAAATGTGATGACACTGAAGGCAGTGAGCCAAAAGTAGACTTTGCTTACTTTACAGTCTTGTCTGGGGCCAGTTTGATTTCTTCATTTAACACAGCACTTACCCTCCCTCACCTTGAAAGTATATGAAGGTTTGATGTGAATATAAGAAACACAGAAGTGATGACTTTCAAGGTCACAGACAATAAAATTTCTCTAACTGAGGTTAGGGTGTGCTTCTCTACTGTCCTTCAGTCTCGATCAATCTTTGGAGAAGGATTTTCCAAGTACCCCCTGCTAGTAGTGATTTTATAAAAAGTGAGAAAAAAGCTGGGACCTATAGACATGAAATTTTGAGTAATGTTTCTTTACATATTTAACCCTAAGATATCAACAATAAACTGTTGCACATTACAAGTTCTGAAAAATCTGGGTTTGTTAAATTCACAATTTCCTAAATGTATTAGACCATAAAATCTCTTTTTAATACTATCCTATGAAGTGTTTTAGAGAAATGATGCTTCATTAGCCTATTTGGATAATAAAAATTGGACACTTTAATTTTTTTTCCATATTCAGCGGACATCTAAATATCCTTAGGTCTTTTGTAAATGTTTGAATTTGTATAGAATTCAATTTTTGTTTCAGCTGACATTTTTATTATCTAAGATTCATAGCATAATATTTATTAATTACCAAAATTAAGCACAAAAATAGTACCAGTCCTCTTTTTATTTCAAGTATTCTGATCAAATCCATGATTAAAGAAAGTTAGTTGAATTTGCTTTGGATATATTAGCAGTGGTGGTATTGTACATAAAATACATTTTAGTCCTCAGCAAAACTTTTTTTTTTCTTGCTCATGTTCTAGATGATTAAAGAGAAATCATTAAGTAAAGACTCTGGTACCATTAAAATATTAATTTATTAACTTTGTTGGTAAGATGATTAAAAACCAATTGGCTTCCTTTTTATCAGAAAACAAGACTTTAATTATCTTCCTTTGCTAGAGATGGTTGTTCAGGAATAGTCACACACTCAGACGGCCTTCAGGTTTGGTGAAAAGTCACTGGGCTGAGAATGAGGAGACCAAACCTTAATGTTTAGCTTTTCACTATTTGTGTACACTTGGTCATGTAACTTCTAGTAAGAGCTTCGATTTTTATTTGTTTTTATTATGTTTATCATTTCAGTATAAGGTAGACAACTATTAAGGCCTAGAATGTGCTTATTAAAATACTATTGTAGACATGCACTGTCTTGTGCTGTATTCTAGACATTACTGCAAATAAAAAAATCTCATGGGCAAGGTACAAACGAACAAGGAAACATTTACTGGGAAAATACTAATATGGACTGGAAAGGCTTATACGTTGTAATATTCTTCCACAAAGTTGGGTTCATGTATAATAAGCATTATTCTTATCCTCCTTGGTGTTGTAACCAAGTCTTCTAAAAACCACATGTGGTCTATTTACATTCTCTCCTATGATTTCATCTAGACTCAGACCTTCAGACATTATAAAAATCGACTATTGTTAATGTGTGTTTCCAGCTCCGAGTGCTCCCTTGGCTGTACACTCACAAATCACGCAACTACTTGACATTTTCACTTGGATCTCTGATGGACATCTAAGATTTAACATGTCTAAAACATAAACTCTGGTTCTCCATGCAACCCTGACCTCCAAACTGTTCACCCAAAATCTTTCTATTTTTGAACATAGAACATAAAATTTTACAAAATTTAGAGTGATTTTTTATTTGGTTTCTTCATCTCCACAGATTAAAATCCTTAACAAATCTAATTCCTTTCTTTCTCATCATCTCTAATAATACTACATCAGACCACAACACCATCATTTCTCTCTTGAGTTATAACTATAGACCACCAACTGCTATTTCTGGTTCCTGCTTGATTTCCTTAATAATCTTTCACATGACAAACAGAATGATTTTTTAAAAACATGAAGTAGATAATTTTTCTGTTCCATTTCAAAATCCCTAATGACTCTCCATTATACTTCGAAGCAAAGTTAAATTCCTTTCTTTTTCTGGTCCTGCCTACCCCATCTTTTAGTCTTTCTTCATCTCCAGTGGTAAAAAAAAAATACCAACAAATAAGTCACTTTGTAATAACTTCATTAGAGAGATGGACAATGACAATTTGTGTGGCAAGGAATTTGTGTGGCAAATTCGAACAATGGCATTTGTTTCTACTATGTTTCTGTACCATTGGTGGCTTCAGTCTCTACTACACAAAAATAATTCTTGACAATTAGGCATTCAGTCCTGAAAAAAAAAATCTGTAGAACATTTTGTTACAATGTGTGTATATATTTTAACTTGCTCAGTTCTGACATAAAAGAAATAAAACCAAAATACCAATCAACGTTTAAAACATATTTAAGCTGAGCCAATATAAAATGCATATGTACATAACATGTCTCAAAAATCTACAAACAGCATTTTAAAGGAACTTTTGTCTTAATATGCTAGAGAGAAGCAGAGTGAGATTGTGAAGCAGGACTCTCCAGCAATCATCCCTATCCACACGCATCAATTTAAATAACGATTTGTGCACTCAAAGACCTTCACAAAGGCTAAGGAAAGCAGCTGACAGATCACACTACCTAGGAGTGGCACAATAATAAGAAAAGACACATGAAAGAGCACAGAAACGACAGTTTTATACTACCCACATCGTCCCTTGCCAGCCCCAGGCAACAGAGCACAGAGAGAGATACCGTTTATGTGACGAAAAGAGATGGAAGTGAGCACGGAACTTTGCCTTGGACCCTGACACTGGGCCTGTCAGAGTAAAACCCAACAGGAAGAAGACCACCCATGGCCACATACTCCAGGCTGCTGTCTGTAAACTGAGCCAGTAGACATATCCCAGTGCCAGGCAGAACCACCCAGCTTCAGGCTTCAGTTTTGTGTGGCAACTTCAAACTCTGGCCTATAACCAGGTCTAGGCCAATTCAATGGCCCTGGCCTCGGGACATCCCTCAGCAGTCACAGACCCCAGTAGCCATGGGCTTCTGATCTGCCCTAGTGCCGTGCCTGCTGCTACACACCGTGTGCCTTAGGTTTCTAGAACCAGGGTTCTGGTCCATCCAGTACAGAGCCTGTCACATGGTTTTGCTAGAAAGAGCTCATTTGCCAAGACTAAAACAAGAGTCTACTTCTTCAAGGGCACAGACATTGATATGTGATCACAAGGATCAAGATCAGAAAAGCCTGACATCACCAAATGGACACACTGAGGTGCTAGTGACTAACATTAAAGAAATGAAGATATATGAATTCTCTAAGAATCCAAAACAAATGTTTTAAGAAAGCTCAGCAAACTTCACGAAAATAAAGGGAAACACTTCAACGAAATGAGGGAATACAATAAGTGGCCAGAATGGAAAATTTAATATTCTCAGTAGAAAAGTTAAATGATGAAACTGTTGAAAATAATGGCTACTATAATTGCTTAGGGGACACGCACTATGAAAAGATGGGAGCTATGGCATCAGAAGCAGTGTGTGGTGGCAGAAGCACAGTGAAAGTGCCATTTCTTGTGTGGGTGGAGGATCAGTCACCAGCAGCTTAAAATAATATGTTATAACTATAAGATGGTTCTGTAAGCCTCATGATAATCACAAAACAAAAACGTAGACACAGAGAAAATAAAAAGCAAGGACTCAAAGCATGTCACTAAAGAAAATCACTTTTTTAATAAGGGAGACAATAAGAGAGAAATATTGGGTCAAGGGAGCTATAGATCTCTGGGTCAGTAAAGAAATTAAAAGGGAAATTTAAAAATTTCCAGAGACTAATGAAAATTAAAACAAAATCAAAGTTTATGGGAAAATCATTTCTAATAGAGAAGTTCATATAAACAAATGTCAACATCCAAAACAAGAAAGATCTCAAATTAAAAATAATAATAATGTTGTACCACAAGAAATTATAAAAATAAGAACAAACCAAGCCCAAAGTAAATAGAAAGAAGGAAATAATAAGGATGAGAGCAAAAATAAATAGAGATTAGAAATACATTAGAAAAAGTCAACAAAACCAAGTTTTTTTTTAAAAAAAGATAAACAAAATAGACATTTACCTAGCCTATGAAAAAAAGAGAAAATTCAGGTAAGATCAGAAATGAAGCAGGGGACC